AGGGCAGTGGTTCCCAAACCTGTCCTGGAGGACCCCCTGCCCTGTAAATTTTGTATGTATCCCTAATCAGACACCCAATTTAGTTATTGCAGTCTCTACTAATGAGCTGATGAGTGGAATCAGGTGTGTTAGATAAAGGAGACATACAAAAGGTGCAGGGCAGGGGGGCCTCCAGGACAGGTTTGGGAACCACAGATTTAAACCAGGGGTCACCAAACTAGATCCTTTGAGGGCCGGTGTCCTGCAGAGTTTAGCTCCAACTTGCCTCAACACACCTGCCTGGAAGTTCCAATTATACCTTGTATGAGCTTGATTAGCTTGTTCAGGTTTGTTTAATCAGGGTTGGAGCTAAACTCTGCAGGACACCAGCCCTCCAGGAGGCTGTTCATAAAAAAAGTTTAGCAAATAGTCCAGGCTGATTTCAGTTAGTCTGACTTATTTTGAACCAAATCAAGTGACAATAAGTCAGACTAACTGAAATAAACTTATTATAGTCTTATTTGATAAACTTGTTTTATGAAACAATTGTAACTGTCTACATTTCAATGAACTTTGGTATTAGGCTGCACATATACCCAGTTTTGTTATTTCAGATTACTGATGATGATGAAGTAAAAATAGTTGCTGTTATGATTTTTAAAAATATTTCTTTGCCAACCATTTGTTCTGAGGTTACTGAGTAAAAACAAGTTTAGTGTAGTGAGAACTAGAATATAACCTTTGGTGAAATTCTCAGTGTATTACAGTCATTTGGTGCGAACAGTCCTACATGTGGCTCCCCTGAACACCACAACCAAAGCCCAGACATCCAATGGTATGTATTTTTAATCAATACAGGTAAACACACTTAAGAATGTACTATTTGACTAATCTGTTTTTCTTTTCACAGTCCAGATGATGTACTGAAGTTGTTGGCAAGTAGGGTAGATGACAGCAAAGATTTCAAAATCTGCATGTCTCGCACAGACTTCTTACAAAGAGCTATGGTACCGTGGCAGCGGCAGAAGAAAGGGACCCCTGGCAACACTTTGCGTGTAACAGTTTTGGGGGAAGCAGGTGTTGATTCAGGTGCCATTAGAAAGGAATTTCTTACAGGCAAGTCAGTTTCTCTATTATGAATTTTGTATTCATGAAACGGTTTTAAAAATTAGAAATTGCATTAATTTTTGGGACTAGTTATGGACGTGTTAGGAATCATACGTTTTTTTGTTTTGTTTCCTTGACTGATTTTCTGTTCTTGCTGTAACCCTAATCCTTTTATTTTACATTATTCTTGTCATATAACTTAACTAAAAAACACAAGCTGTTAATAGCTTGTATTTATTTTTACTTCTTTTATAGGTTCCCAAAATATATGAATGTGCGTATTATAACTATACAATACACAATCATCAAAAACATTAAACCCACCTGCCTGTGTTGGTCCCCCTTGTTCTACCAAAACAGCAGCAACCCACATCCTAGAATTGCTTTCTTCTCACCATTGGCTACACTCAATTGTTAGGGTAAGATGTGGGCATGGAGTAGGGATGCTCCGATCCGCCTTTTTCGCCTCTGATACCGATTCCGATACCTAGGGTTCGGTATTGGCCGATACCGATCCGATACCAGTGAAGTTTTTTTCCCTCATTTAAATAAATGTAGAATTTATATATCTCTGTGTGTGGAACTGATAACCATTCTTTCACAATCTACTAGATACAGACTACTTCATTATAAAGAATATTATTATAAAATACATTCATTAAAAACATTCATATATATATATGTTTAAGTATATACTCTAAAATTAAAATAAATTTATTTTGAATGTATAGCATATTTTTTATTTTTAATAAGGCAACAACATATGATAGATATGATAGGACAAAACAAATACAGTGCAGCACGAACTGTTTTTATACAGTCTATGAGCACGAATTAACAAATGTCAAAATTAAACAACGACAAAGTGTTTTTCCTTAGTTGGTTACAATCTTGAATTTGTACAACCACTAAGCGATGACCAATCAAGAATCAACATTGCACTGTTTTCTGTTTGTAGTTAAATGTGCTCCATTATAAATCCATTATGGGAACATTGCTCATTTAGAAATGAGATTGGATCTAAACTCTATTGAAGTGAATGAAATGCTTTTTCTTAATATGTAGTTCCTACAAAATGCGTACATGCATTTATAGATTTGATTGGTGAGATTGAGAAACACCTCTTTGAGCATCAAGGACACCAGAGTGGGAAGAGCCCTGTCTACTCCTTAAGTGATCTAGAGAAGGGATATTTCGGGTTAGCAATTTTTTTTATTTTAGTTATTCTACCTGTTGTATTTACATGTTATTTATGTTTTAACAGGCTTGATCTTTGTGTATGTTTGTGCTTTCTCTTTCAGGACTGCAGGAGAGGTGTTTTCAGTTAGTCTTGCTCAGGGTGGACCAGCCCCCCGTTTCTTGAGACAGTGGTGCTTTGATTATCTCTCAGCAGGAGATTTGGATGAAGCGAATCTCACTAAAGATGATGTGGATGATGCTGAACTTTTTTAATTGATTCAAAAGGTAGTAAAAAAAAAATACTTATAGATTTCTTACTTGGCCTGCACAACACCCATTTGTATTTACATATATTTGTAAGTATATATATATGCATGTAAATATATATGAAATAATGCATTTCATCATATCAGGTGGAAGAAGAGACTGATCTTTCTGCTTGGACCAGTGATATCATTAGTTGTGGTTATACTGGTCTGATTAAACCAGACAACAAAGAGGCTATAATAAGGTAAGAAAAAAAATGTATCAGACCACACATGGGCTTATGTCAGCCAACAGAGCACAACAACCTTACATTAACACTTGCAGGCTCTTTTAATTGTGGGTACATATATTGCAACAACCTTAAAATATATTGTTTCTACAGATATAACAACAAATGTTATTGCATAGTTACATTTCTCCATAGTTTTTAATTCAATAATATAATCTGCAATGCTTGATGGGTTTGTAGTTTACTCTAAAACCGTAAAGTACACAGTACTGTGTAATGTCATCTCAGTGAAATGAACCTTGGCATGATTGTTGGTGCCTGATGTGCTGTTTTCAGTATTTCTGGAAATGCTGATCTCAATGGATTTATGATGATAGACACAACAGTCTCTAGAATTTATTCAGAGTGGAGCCCAAAAAACTACATTTTGTGGGTAATGAGTGTATATCATAACAGGCTTTCTTAAAAATGTATGTGTATTTCAGATCTATTGTGCTGCATGCAACCTTGCGTCTGATCCCTTTGCTGAAGCAACTCAGAAAAGGTCTTCAAGTGTACAATTTTGTGGACATCCTGCAAGACCATTGTAGATTGTGCCAACATTTCTTCGTCCCCACTGCGGTTGACGATGACAATGAGGTATCATTCATAGTAATTTTATCAATTTTTCGTGATTTATTCTTATTGAATATGGACATTTTTGGGGTTTTTTTTCACATAAAAATTGAGATATAAAATACAAGTCATAAGCATTTTTAGCAATTGTTCTCTCAGTACCTGAAAATGCATATTGGTTGTCATCCCGCAGGCTGATGCAGATTTTATCATGCAGAACATTCTGCCTAAGCTATCAGAGAAGGCAACAATGCGAGAAGCACGTGAAACGGCTATTGTCAACTTCCTGCAGGATTTTCTTCAGGAAATTGAAAGTGAAAGTGTTGGTATAACATTAACTTTGTTTCTAATTTAGTGTAGATGCTTTAAGAAAAGACAAATGTTGTCTGAAAATTCATGTGACATCACAGTGAGCATTAGACATTAACACCTGTCATACAAACTTTTTACACTGCCACTTGGTTTTTTGTGATTTAATGGAAAATGTTTATGGTCAGCTATATTGTAGAATCACTTTTGGTTGAGATGACATGCTCTTTTGCTTGCAGATGATATCCCTGACGGAGACACCCTGCCCCTTAACTGTCCCCCGTGTAATGCAATGGCTGCATTTAACATAGTTTTGAATTCGATTTTTTTAACTTGAATATTGAATATTTGAAATTTAACACAATTTGAACCACTGAATTTGTGGAAGCCAATTTGTAAAGCGAAATTAAATAGACCGAAAATTGCCTGTTGAATATTATAGATCGTGGTTATAGAACTGGCCAGGGACACAAGCCACTTCTAATGTCAGAGCGTCAAGAATTCAAAATCGGTTTGCATTTTGATCATGATTGTCATCAGAGGATGCCTGCACACCGAATCTGCTACCCAGTTGTAAGTGCCTGTGCCAGAAAAATTACTTTTCCTGTAGCACACATGGACAACTACCATTCGTTCAAGGTAGTCATGCAGCAGGCTATCAACTCTGATTTTGGATTTAACAGAGTGTAAATTTGTGAGTAGCATACAATGCCGTATTAAATGTAGTTGCATTGCTCCATGTTCAGGGCATAGAGTACTGCTATATGTTGTTACATATTCTTATTGTAACCCTAACACCAGAAAGAAAACGGGCATAGTGTATTTTGTTTTGAATTTCTTTTTATTCTGATTCCATAGAAAATACTTGTTCTGTATATACAGTGATTTTAGAACCTTGCAATTAATTGTTAAATATTACTGTTAATACTTACTGTTCTGTTTACTGTAGAAAGAAAACCTTCAAAACAATAACTTTATTTTATTAAAGGTTTATCAAAAGTTTCATTTTGTACTATATCTGGTTTTGTTCTGAATATGTTGGGAATACATTGTAAACATTTCACTGTCATTTAAGAATGAAGGATCACAAAATGTAACGCCACTAAATATTTGTCCCTGCCAAAGTTTTGAGATTGTGAGGTTGGGTCAACAACAGCTTGCAGCTGGGCATTCAGTTCCTCAGTTAATGTGCAATCTATTGCAGGAACTACAATTCCTCCAGACGGCTGGTCAGGGATTCTGGTCGTGTCCCGGTCAGAGTCTTCATCTTGAGGATTCTGTGAAAAATTGGTTAGTTTATGGACATGGTATATTTTATTGCTGCAATACATTAGGTGAAAATATAAATACATGTTCTGGCACAGAACAAATTCAGTCAAATTATAGTAAATACCTCAGTTTCTGGAGCATCGACAGGGTTTTGAATCAGCCCGATTTCCCACATTTGGTTGGGGCTTCGATTGCCCTCTGTGCGGAGGGGATGGTTATTCCATCCACAAGTAAAGGAATCAAGGCTGGCCTGGAGGCACGGCAGGAACACATAATGACAACAAAACATGTGGAGGCTGTTGGCTGGATCTAGTAACCCTTCCTCCTCGAGAGTGTGTAAAACATCATAGAAGATGTTGGTTACAGCCATCCATATGTCGCGCCAAAGACGTTCAATACTGAGAAATGCAGACAAAACAGTGTGTAATCATTTGATTAACAGCACCTTATTGCAGAAATGTTGAGTACACCGTTATCCTTACAAATAGAATGTTCATATGTTTAGCTCGGGGTATGAATATTTAATTAATCTTGATGCTTACCGCTGGTTATGCACACTTTTTCCTGACATGAAACTTCCCCTTCCGTAGCCTCGCACAGAAAACATGCATCTAGCGATCTCCACATTTTCTACTCCTTGGTCTCCTCGAACTCTAAATGCAGAAGTAATTAAAAAGAGCAAAGCTGTTTTAGAAAAGAACAGTCTAATAAGTAAAATCATTGCCCCTTTAATGTATGCGATGTTTATATGCTTGTAAACTGTTTTCAGAAAAATATGGAAGTATAGTGAAAATTCACCCTCATAATGTTCTATTTGTCTGTCTGAATTTTTGTTTTGTTCTTTTTTACTATTTTTACACAAGATGGACAAACAAAATTCTATTTTTGTAATGAAGTGTTTCACAAACCTCCCCTCCCATCAGACACACCTGATTCAACTCATTAATAGAGACTGCAAGACCTGAATTGGGTGTGTCTGATGAGGGAAACATCCAAATTGTGCAGTGGGGGGAGGGAGGTCCGTAGGACAGGGTTGAGAAGCACTGATCTATTCAAACAAACAATGCTAGAAAGTACAAACTGTTTTACCTTAACGGAAATCCATGTCTCTCCACTGACTGATGGAAAAATCCAAGGGCAGTTGATGCTTTGTTATCTGTAGCAGCTCCAAGGTACATGATCTGAGGTAAATGATCAAATGTTATATTTATGTCAGGGGTGCAGAAATCAGTTCCTGGTGGGTCACAGCCCTGCAGAGTTTATTTCCAACCCTGCTCCAACACAGTTTTCAAATAAGCCTTCAAGCCTTTCAAATGACTTGATTAGAGTTGAAGCTAAACTCTGCAGGGCTGTGGCCCTCCAGGAACTGAGTTCTGCACCCCTGATTTATGTATTACATCAATTTATATATATAGCTGAATCGTGAATCCTGTCATTTATGAACAAGATTGCGTGGGTGACTGAATCTGTTGGCGATCTGGCTATTTATTTAAATATCCAAAAATATACAATAAACATACGACGCAACAATATATGGTTTAGCTGTGTTCTTCAAGCCATCTCTGGTATTTTCATAATAATAAAGTATATTTATAACCCAATGCTAACCGAGGGCTAATCAAGGTTTTGCAAGATTGCAAAACTCTTTGAGCTAACTGACGTGATGACAGCTGTTCTGAGACAAAAACCGCACATCAGCTCACAAAATGAAGTTATTTCAAACACTCGACTGATAGTAATCGCATGTAGTTAACTAAACAACAAGTTTGCAAAACTTATTTTTTTTGCTCAAGACTTTATTTTTCTTTTGCAAAACTTTATTTTCTTTTGCAAAACTTTATTATTTTGCATATATATGTGGCATTATATTGACTCCATAAGACTGGGCTATTCGCGGGGAGTGTGTCGAGGGAGTAATACATGTGATGCGAGCTGTGAGTTTAATTCATTCCTGAGCTCTGACAAATAAAAGGCAATAAAGTTCCAGTTTATGTGTATGCCTGCATTATTTTGACGGACCCATTTTCAAGAGACTGGAGTTTCCTCCTATGGTCTACAGCCCCTCTTACAATATTATCATATTCAACTTGATCCATCAGTAAAGCCTGTTGTACATGCTCCACGAAAAGTTCCTGTTGCACTAAAAGAAAGAATAATTGAAGAATTACACCGGATGGAAGACATGAATGTAATAGAAAGACAAACAGAGCCAACTGATTGGGTGAGCAGCATGGTAACGATTGTCAAGCCTGACAAAATTCGCATATGCCTCGACCCACAAGACTTGAATAAGGCAATTAAACTATCCTCTACTCACGGTAGAAGAAGTTGTGTCAAATATGCCAAATGCCAAAGTTTTCTCTGTACTTGATGCCAACCAAGGGTTCTGGCAGATCAAATTGGACAATGAAAGCTCCAAGTTGTGTACATTCAATATGCCTATAGGAAGATACAGATTCCTGCGTTTACCTTTTGGAATATCGTCAGCATCAGAAGTATTCCAAAGAGCTGTAGCACAGATGATTGAAGATCTGGATGGGGTGATAAACATAGTGGATGGTTTGCTGGTTTGGGGTGAAACAGTACAAGAGCATGATGCCAGACTGAGAAAATTGCTCCAAAGGGCAAGAGAATACAACCTCAAGCTGAACAAAAATAAATGTCAACTTAGAACATCACAAATCAAGTATATGTACGCTTGTACATGTACTTACAGCAGAAGGACTGAAACCAGATGAAGAGAAAGTGAGAGCTGTAGTTCAGTTACCTCCACCAGAAGACAAGCAAGGGCTGCAAAGATTTCTAGGTATGCTGCATTATATAGCCAAGTTCATTCCCAACTTTTCAGATGTAAGTGCTCCACTCAGACAGCTGCTAGAAAATGATGTGGAATGGTTCTGGGGAAGTGAACAAGAGAAAAGTTTTCAGAGGCTCAAAGCTCTAGCAACGAATGCTCCAACCTTGAAATTCTACGATGTCAACAAACCATTAACATTGTCAGTAGATGCCAGCTCTGAAGGCATGGGTGCTCAAAATTGAGAAGGAACTACTTGCAATTGTATATGGATGTGAAAAGTTCCACCAATATGTATGTGGTAGAGACGTTCAAGTAGAAAGCGATCACAAGCCACTCGATAGCATTTTCAAAAAACCTCTACATAAGACACCATTGAGGCTGCAAAGGATGTTGCTCAGACTCCAAAGGTACAATCTGAAAGTCACATACAAGCCAGGCAAAGAGATGCACATAGCAGATGCATTGAGTCGTGCTTACCTTGATGACCACACCGAAGACCTGATAGAAGAGGAGTTAGAGGTAAACTATGTCACACCTCAGCTACCTGTGTCTGAAGAGAAACTGAAAGAGTTCAGAAAAGCAACAGCTGAAGATCCTGAAACGCAGAGACTGAAAGAATACATCATGAAATGATGGCCTGCAGAAAAAAGTTCAGTGCACAAAAACGTTCAGAAATATTGGACATTTAAAGAGGAACTTAGCTACACATCAGGACTGGTGTTCAAAGCTGCAAAACTCATCATTCCAAACAAAATGAGAAGTGAAATGCTGGACAGAATTCATGAGTCACATCTGGGCATGGTGAAATGTAAGGAAAGAGCAAGAGACATCATATATTGGCCAGGAATGTCGGCTCAAATTGAGAAAATGGTATCACAATGTCCCATATGCAACACTCATCGAAATAGTCACACAAAATAACCACTAATACCTCATGCATTGCCGGGCAGACAATGGGCAAAGGTCGGTACTGACTTGTTTCATCACAACGGTTCTGAGTATTTACTGTGTGTAGATTACTACTCCAAGTTTCCAGAGATTGCAAAGCTAAATGACACTACGAGCAGAAGTGTAATCATTGCATTGAAATCACTGTTTGCAAGACATGGCATACCTGATGTGGTAATATCAGATAATGGTCCACAATATGCCAGTCAAGAATTCAAGTATTTTGCAGAAAACTGGGAGTTTGAGCACAAAACGTCTAGTCCGGGATATGCTCAGTCAAACGGACAAGCAGAAAGAATGGTTCAAACAATCAAGAGAATGCTTATGAAGTCACAAAGTGGAGATCCATATATTGCGTTGCTGGAATATTGCAATACTCCACTAGATGAAATCGGAATGTCACCAGCACAACTTCTAATGGGCAGAAGGTTGAAAACTAAACTGCCAACTTCCACCACGCTGTTGACTTCAAAAGTAAGTAAACAAATTCAAGAAAAATTCAACCACAGACAATCAAAGCAGAAATTTTATTATGACAAAAACACCAAGCAATTGCCAGACATATCACCAGGAGACAAAGTGAGGATACAGCAAGGACAAATCTGGAATCCTGCAACAGTTCTGAAGAAACATGATTCTTCAAGGTCATACATTCTTCGCACACTTGATGGAAGGATTTATAGAAGAAACAGAAGGCATCTGTTAAAGACAAAAGAAGTGATCAAGATGACTTTGAAAATGAGTCAAACACTAATGCAAACCTGGAAAGCGAAAGGAGTCCAGACTTACCTGTTGTGGTGGCGCAAACACGTCAAGAAAAATCATCTGTGAGCAAGCCAATCATCATCACAAGATCTGGAAGAGAGGTTAAAGTTCCTTCAAGATTCAGAAACTTTAAAATGCACTAAAATAGTTACTGAAATAAATGCATCAGAGTAAATGTTTAATTATATAGTTAAGGAAACTTGTTCCATATAGTTACAGGGTAAGTGGCTACAACAAACTGCTTTGAAACGATTGTTTATACATTAGGTCATACATACATACATTATATATCAGGTAATGTATCAATAAACATGGTGGACTGTTTTAT